TGGCCCAAGCTTCGCCCGCCTGGAGCCTGCTGGCCTACCTGACCCTGCCTTGTGCCCCGCATCTATGAAACGAAACGAAACGAAGTATCTATAGGAGACTAAGGAGGCGAACACAAAGCTCCCTGAGGTGGTGGAACAAGGTGCAGAGGCAGCCAGCGGCAGGCCAGGACCAAAGGCCGTTCTCCAGTTACACCTGGAAACACGGAACTCACAAACGAATAAATGGTGGAAAAAAGCACGTAAGCATCAAAAACAAAAAGAAGATGACAGTGTCTCTGTAGGGCCTAAAAAATTTCAGAACCTGAAGAAGAAACTTCAGCGATCTGGTCAGTTTACTCAGAAAACAGTGCATTGTCTACTGATGACAGGGAAGTGGAATCCCAAGAATCGTTACGGTACCTTTGACTTCGATTTCCCGTTTTCCCTTGAGGAAGACATATCTTTGATTGCTTCTGGTGGCATATAATTCACCGTGCCAACCTATTAACAAATCAGAGGAAACGCAAATCAACAACAATAATCCTGCTTGAGATTTTAAAAAAACATGAATGCCAGACTCTTAGAAACTTGAACAATTACAGACTTCAACGAAACACTTGAAAAATTAAAATAGCTGCCAACAAGTTTGTTCATATATGTGTGTGTGTGAATACATAACCACACACTCACATCTCAATTTTTCTCAAAACTCCAGCAAAATGAATTGGGTTCGTCATCAGAAGACTGACTCCTTTCAGAATGTTGTGCTTTTTCTATGACTATAGTGGGCAATCAGTAATGTCTGCCCTAAAAACTACCTAGGCTAAAATTCTATTAACGGCCACAGACTTTGAGGGACTTGATTTATTATTCATTTCTGTGCTGCAATAAACTTTTTTTTAAAAAAAATAAACCAACTGACCAATTCATAAAAGAAAAGTCTTTTGGTTTTGCCTCCTTGTACTCCTTGGCCCTCGTGTCCAAGCTGAGTTGGAAGGGGCATCTAAATCATATGCATTTCTACAATAGGTGATGCCTGCCCTACAATGTACTCGTTTTATTAAAAAATAAGCAGTCTGCTTTCAACACCGAACATCTGGACTTTGAGGCCTTGCCATAGGAGCATGGTCAAGCTGGTTTACAATTCATTGTTCAGCCACTTTTGACACCGACAGAAATGACTGTCAAGCCAAACTGTCTATTTCTCCCAATAAATCCTAGCTTTACTCCTAAGATTAAGGCAGATTTGCATCAGAAATCTGTACATGTGGAACATATCGTCTTGGCTCCAAGCAAGTTTATCTTTTAGAAATCCTTTGGTGCCTCTGCTTTGGTTTTCATGGGATAATGCCATAAAGCTTGTTATTGCATATCCTATTACAAAAATGCTGCTGAGTATAATATTATTACAATATGAATATTTTCCATTATGAAGGCTTACTTAAGAAACTTTTCCCCAATTTAAGTGATATGAAAAGGTTTGCTTCTCTGGAAGCGTAGGGAAAATCTTACCTCATGGACAATGAAAAACATACAACTGCACTTCCTTCTTTGCTTACTACTAGGAAACTGGGCCAAATTTTCAGGCCAATTTTAGACCATGACCAAGATGATTTCCAAGGTAGGTATTAAAAATCACCCAAAATTCCTGGATACATTTCTGTCTGATCTTGACTTCCTATTCGAAATTACATTAATAATGGCTTTGATTTTTTTTCAAATTATTTATTTGTTTATTTATTTATAGACAGGGTCTCACTCTGTTGTCCAGGCTGGAGTATAGTGGTGCAATCACAGCTCACTGCAGCCTAGAACTTCTGGGTTCAAGGAATCTTCCTGCCTCAGCCTTCTGAGTAGCTAGGACTACAGGAATGTGCCACCATGCCCAACTAATTTTTAAATTTTTATAGAGATGAGATTTCACAATGTTGCCCAAGCTGGTCTCCAACTCCTGGACTCCAGTGATTCTCCTGTCTCAGCCTCCCAAACAACTGGGATTACAGGTGTGAGCCACCAGGCTTGGCCTAGATTTTTTAAGTCATAATATCTATTCTCACAAAACTACTTCAAATCTTTCGAAGAATGAGGTAGGTTAAAAAAGTTTAGCAAAATAATACTCCACAGGTGAAAAAGAATTGAACTGTATTATGAGGTAATCAACCATTCTTTAAAGCTTTACCTGATGCTGGGCCTGGTGGCTCAGGCCTGCAATTCCAGCACTTTGGGAGGCCACGGTGAGAGGATTGCTTGAACCTAGGAGTTCGAGACCAGCCTGGGCAACATAGCAAGACCTCGTCTCTACAAAAAAATAAAAAAATTAGCTGGGTGTGTTGGTGTGCGCCTACTCCAGGCTACTTAGGAGGATCGCCTGAGCCCAGGAAGTCAGGGCTGCAGTGAGCTGTGAGCTCCAGCTTGGGTGATAGGGTGAGACCCCAACTAAAAGAAGTAAAAGATAAAAAAAGTCTTACCTGAGAATCTTTAACAATACTTGTTGTATCTGGTTGCATCTGGTTTGCGATCCCAAAATCAATTAGCTTTAGCATTCCATCAACAATCAGAAAGTTAGCAGGTTTCAGATCGCTGTGAACAATGCCTTCAAAATAAAAATCCATTATAATGTTAGACAATGTATAACATTCTAAAGACTAAAAATTTCACAATCTACAGGTCACGTTGGATCCCCCAATTAAATCTTAATTTTTAGTATATTCTATAACACTCACACAGCACTTATGTGCCAAGCGTTATTCTAAGTCAGCTGCTTGTGCAGTCCCGAATCACTTAATCCTCACAACCATGCTGGAGCAAGTACCACTGTTCTCAACACCATTTTATTTTTTTATTTTTTTTTTGAGTTGGAGTCTCACTCTGCCTGCTGGGCCCCGGCGATCCTTCCGCCTCAGCCTTCCAAGTAGCTGAAACTACAGGCACGCGCTACCACGTCTGGTTAATTTTTGATTTATTGTAGAGATGAGGTCTCGCCAAGTTGCCCAGGCAGGTCTTGAACCCGCGGGCTCAGGCAATCCACTCACCTCAGCCTCCCAAAGGCGCGGGATTACAGGCTGAGCAACCGAGCCCGGTTCACCCCCATTTTAAGGTGAGGAAACCTAGGCCATCGGTGGAAGCAACTCTTTCAAAGTCACGTGACAGTGCCATGAGTTGAAGCTACAAGTCTGGCTTCCAAATCTATCCTGCTGACCGCTGGGACTCACTGCAAGCTAGAGAGCACTGGAAATTGCACTACTAGATGGGAAGACCCTGGCGATCCTGCCACCTCCATCCCGGCAGCCCTGATCTTCAACACTGGGGAATGGTTTTTTTACTTAGAGAAAGAGGGATGTGAGAAGGAGATAAATTACAATTAGCTAGGTTAAGTTATTTAAAGGAAAAAAGACTAGGGTAAAGGCAGAGAAACGTCCTAAAAAGAACCAAGGACAAGTAAAAACCAACCCAGAAGGTAGGTCCACCAGCAAAAAAATAAGACCAGCTGTCACATAGGGCACACAACACAAAATGATTAGGAGAATGCGTGACATAAGCATTTCCTGTTGTAGGACACCCAAATCCTCAAGTCTCAGACCTGCTGCAATCAAAGTTTTAAGGATTATGGACTACATCCATATGGAGAAAAATATATTTGCATTATGGATGTGGAAACTTGAGTTCATGTCCAATATCCTTTGGGTTAAAAGTGCTTTAAGAAATAGTTTTCTCCCTTCATTTTTAAATAAACTTTCAATTATTTAATTCAGCTAGTTAAAGATGCCAATAACCAAAGTCTTAAAACTACAGGTGTACCTCAAAGATGACACGATTAACAAATAGTTTAACTTTACATATATAAATTTTAAAATACCATGTTGATGTATTGTGTGAACTGCCTCCAACATATTTTTCCAGTAACTCTTGCGTTCCCATGGATTGATGGATTTTTTCTTTTTAAGCCAACTGTTAAGATCAATATTTCCACACTCCATTACCATGTAGATGTACTGATCTGTGATTTCACTGTAATTAAAAATCAACAAACAAAAGCAACAAAACAATACATGGTGAGGTTATATTATGATTTACTAAGAATCTGTCTGAAGAATTATGGCAAGAACATTTTTTTTTTTAAATTTAAAAGGAATTCTTACTAATCATAAAGTCGGATGATCTTATCACTGTGTTGTTGTAGTTTATTCAAATAAGCTATTTCGTTCCGGTAACTATCAATAGTTTGATTATCTGCTTCTTCTAAGTTCACATATTTTATAGCATATATCTGTTTCTTTTCATTCAACACCTGGAATACCTATATAGAAGAATGAAAGTTTAGAATACATTATTTACACACTATCACAATGCTTCTAAGTTTATTAGACAGAATTTTAGGTTGAGAAAATTCTGAAGGAAATACAGACATGAACAAGTAAGTTTCTGGGTCTATTCTGAGTATAGAAGGAAGAAAAACAATCCTGACAGAAGGAGGGTAACAATCCATTCCCAGCTACCTATGACAACAGCGTTCAATAACTCATGAGTATAAATAAACCTAAAAAGTTTCAATATCAAATATAGGAAAAGTAGTTTAAATTTCATATATATTCCCAACAGTCTGCTGGATGCCTTAACCAGGAAGATGGCACAAAGAAAAAGACACTCAAAAATGTTAAGGATCAGCCCAGCATGGTTCTGTGCACCTGTAATCCCAGCTGCTTGGAAGGCTGATGAGAGAGGATTGCTTGGGCCTAGGATTTCAAGTCTGGCCTAAGCAAAATAGCCAGGTATCATCTCAAAAAGGAAGGAAGGAAAGAAGAAAGAAAGAAAGGAGGGAGGGAGGGAGGGAAGGAGGGAGGAAGGGAGGAAGAAAGAAAGAAAGGTTAAGAATGACTAAAGTCTATGTGATAGAGTCAATCCAGTTCACAGATGGTGTTTTTTTTCCATTGTGCCGGGGGTTGATCATTTCATTCATGTGATAGACAACACTTAAAAACATATGCTAATCATAAGCTATCAGTATATTTAGTAGTGAAAAGTAGATTAGGTCCAATTTTCAAAGTCAAATTAGCAGGTGTAAGATGTTCTTATAAAGTATGCTGTCAGGATCTCTGAGCTTAAACTCCAATTGGTCTGGCTACAACAGATGATTGATTTCTAAGTAACACTGATAAGGCAGATGACACTTTGAAAAATAGAAAACACTGCTAATGTGTCTAAGGGATGGTGCTTCTCATACTCAAGAATTCCAACTCAAAACACTAGTGTATGCAAGAAAAATTATATTTGTTTACCCCCTCTGACACATTTATGCAAAGATTCATTTAACCTTGACTACCGAGCAGACATGAGGAAATGATAGGAAAAGAGCCCACGTGTATGTGAGGTCGATGTACTGAAACTGCCTTAATAAGGAGAGGCCACCAGGAGCAGTTTAGGGATTTTCAATCTTTAAGTATAAAACTCGAACAAAGTCTTACTGGTTTTCCTTAGTCACACAGTAAATTAGAGGAGATGGATGATAAGACAGTGACAGGGCAAGAGGCAGCAGGAAACAGCAAAAGAGATCAAAGGAATTCAAAAACAGCAGTATAAAGCAATCTTGAGTTGAGGGCATCTGTGGTCATGTGGTGCCACACTGACACCCACGACCCTGAATCTGCTGGCTTTATCTTCTAGTGAAGCTATTCATACAATAGGTCTCAAAATTTCTGAGCACACGAAAATTTTCAAATTAGCTTTTTGCATGTAGGTTCATTTCTCTCCACTGTCCCTGTTCTGGCCAAGCCCTTGTGATAACCACACATCAGATTAGGCAGACCCTACTTCCATTTCACAGAGACAGTGTCAGAGATATGGTCTGCCAGTTTCATGGGAAGTTCATGAAAGTGAAACTAGACAGGACAGTGTCTTGACCATTTTTGTTAACCCCACGACATTCTAGATACTCTTAATACAGTAAAAGTTGTATTAAGTTAAGTTGTATCACTGCCTAAGTCTGGAATAGGCAGCTCAAAAATGTTATTAGTTTCATAAAGCATGTTACCTCTTTTTCTCTGAGGCAAGTTAATTTTTTCAACTCCATTATAATAATTAAATTAAGTGATAATTTAATTGAGCTCAGAGAGTATATGCCACTCAAAGTTTTAACATTTGGCCTTTGAATTAAGTAAGCTGACACCTTCATTACACTCCATGGGAAAAAATGTGCAAAACATCCTATGAAAACATACCACTAAGTAATAAATATCTTTCACCATCTAGTTTCAGTACCTTGATACTATTAAAATATAGTCAAATAACAAATAAGCGATAAATATTAACCAAAGAATTTCCATTAAAGCAATTAAAGTAGGTAATACAAATAGACTGATATAACGAAATGTATACAGAAACCTTCCCATACAGGGATAGTACATTTAAAAAAAAAAAAAAGAAACTAGTATTTATTGAGAACTTGATGCACATGGCAATATGAATACCTTATGTTCAATAAGTTAACAAGACAGTCTTAAGTCTAGTTATTGTTAGTGGGTTTGAAAATTACTATAAAACCTGAAATGAGTCCACCAGTGTTTGTTTCATATGTCATCCTTAACAACTTATAATAGCCTAATAGCTGAGGGAGGACATTTCCTTCAGTCCCTCCCCCGGCTGAATTTGATTGCTGTCTGCTCTAGGTACTGCTCTAGATCATTGAGCCTAGGAGACAAACATCTCTGTCTTCACGGAGCTCTCATTCAAGTGTGGGGACCCAACAAACCAAATAAGTAAAGCAGGGAGCATGTTACAAGGCCAGCTACAGAGAAGCACAAAGCAGGAGGAGAGAACGGGGTGCACCGCTACCTGGAGCAGGAGTGGCAGCTTTGGCGTGTGGGCATGGAAGGCCTAACTGAGAAGACACTCGCACAGAGCCGGGAGGATACTAGCAGGAAAACAGACTGGCTGTCAAAATGGCTGGGAAAATGAGAAACGAGCTAAGCTAAGCGCAGAAAAGCAAACACCACCTCACGTTGTCACTCAGATGTGAGAGCTCAAACAATTAAGTCATAAAAGCAGAGAGCAGAATGGTAGTTACTAGAGGCTGGGGTTGCGGGGAGCAGAGGGATGGCAGTCAAAGGATGCTCAGGAGGAATTAGTTAGATTTTTTTTCTGCCTGATAGCACAGCAAACTGAATATAATAAATAACTGAATACTGTACATTTTAGCATCACTAAGAGTAAGTTTTTAATGATCTCATCACAAAAATTGTTAGATATGTGAGGTGAATAGTATGTTCATCAGCTTAATTTAATCATTCTACATTGGATTCAGAAATCCTAACACCACTTTGTACTCCATAAAAATGTACAACTATAATTTGTCAATATACAATTTAAAACAACAGACCAGGAGAGCAAGGACTGAGTCAACGAGACTTATTAGGAGGCTAGTGTAAGAATCCAGGTGAAAATATGACAGTTGCTTCGACCAAAGTGATGAGATGATGAGAAACAGATTCTAGAGATACTGTGATGTAGAACCCACACGATTTGCTGACTGGCTAGGTGTGTGTTTGAGACTAAGAGTCATTATTTTTTTGGTCTCTCAGTTGGTGTCGAACACCTAGGCTCAAGTAATCCTCCTGCCTTGGCCTCCCAAAGTGTTGGGATTACAGGCAACAGCCACCACACCCAGCCTGGTCTAATAGTTGGAAGAATGAAGTCGTTTATTGAACCGAGAAGGACAGTGTTTGGACGTATTGTTTCAAATGCCTCGTAGACCCCAAGAAGAGATGCTGAACAGTCAAGGTGGATGCACAAGGCTGAAATTCAACGGGGAGGTCTGAGATGGAAACGTAAGTCTGCACGTTGTTAGCATACACATGGAAATTGAAACCACGAGACTGAACACGAACACCAGCACACAGAGTGAGTTGAAGAAAAAGAAGAGGCCAAGAACTGAGCCCGGGGCATTGCTCCACTGGGATCAGGGACAGGAGGAAAACGACAGGAATGGCGAGTTTGAGAGGAGGAAGACAGAGGGGCCGAGTGGAAAAAAAAGGTTTCCACAAGAAAAAAAAAATCACCTGTCCCAAATGCTGCTAAGTAACCCACAATCAAAGCTGAGAATTAAAGATTTGGCAAAAATATGGAAGTCACTGTGATCTTGAAGACGGTTGATCTTGGTGAGTGATGAAGGTGAAAATCTGACTGAGGAAGATTTAAAAGAACAGAATGAGAATTAAGGATGGCAGAGAATGCTTAAAATGCCTTCTATCCACAGAGAATGAGAGCCATACACACTTAGAACTCAGATAAGTTAGAAAATAACCCAGTTCTAAAAACTTGTCACTAAACAGTTTTTCAAATAAAAAACTTAAAATCCATTTGTGAAATTGCTTACTGAGCTGGGATCGGTGGCTCAGACTGTAATCCCGTGCTTTGGGAGGCTGAGGTGAGTGAACTGCCTGAGCCCGCGGGTTTGAGACCCTCCTGGGCAACCTGGCGAGACCTCATCTCCACAATAAATCAAAAATTAGCCAGGCATGGTAACGCTCGCCGGTAGTTCCACCTACTCGGAAGGCTGAGGCGGAAGGATCACCAGAGCCCAGCAAGTCGAGGCTACAGTGGCCAGGAGCGGCCACTGCACTCCAGGGTGACAGAGTGAGACTCCAACTCAGAAAAAAAAAAGAAAATGCTTAGTGAATGATCCTGACCATATCTGCAAATTACATCATGTTCTGACTCAGGTTTTAGAAGATTCTTTTGTAATACTACATAGTGGTTATTCACCATCCCGAGTTAATGTTAATATTATCAGAGAAGAACTATGGAAGCAGAGGACTCTGAAGAAAAGGGCAGGAGACTGAGACTAAGAGGTCGGTCTAAGGAAACATGCCATCTGTGGGAAGGAGAGGAAAGAAGGGCAGGTGACAAGGTGGCTTTTTTGGCTCCAGGGTAATATGACCCCTAGAAATTAAGAGAAGACAAACTCCATAGGTAAAAAGACAAGAAATAGAAGTTCAAAATATTTTTATTCATGTCTTAAATATTTATGACACTTACCTTACTTGAACCTCCACTTCCTATCTGCTTTAATATGGAATAAATTCTTCCTTTAACTGAAATGCACTCATTTGTTGACAAGGATGCCGAAATCTAAATAATTAAAACATACAAATAAAGGCCTAAGAAACTAGCTTGTATTTGGCACAGTGAACTGCTTCCAATTTTGAAATTATCTTAAGTCTTAATTAGGTATGTGACAGTATTTTTAAGAGGAAGCTTGTTCTATGTACTGTAATCAGATAAACCCTTAAGATAAATATACAGACGAAATTTCAAGGTCTCCTCTTTAACCGGTTTTTACTTCTTAACACAAATAGATAATGTAAGGAGAAAAAATCCATTGACCATCCAATACACAACTTCGTGAGCTACCGTTTTTCATCTCCTTTTCCTATTGTTTTTCCTTCTGCTTCTTTACTTACATATGTACACACACACACACACACAATTACACCGATGCTGCTCTTTCTCATTCAGCATCACATCACAGAGGAAGCGAGGCACTGAGGGGCTGAGAGCCCTTGGGCCACCAGACAGACGCAATTTCTGCTACACCCTCCGCTCTGAGTGCAGAGTGAGGCTCAGCAAGTCACTGAATCTCTCTGAATGCCAGCATCTTCCCCAGCAGCCGCTCCACACACGTGAACAGCTGGAGTGCGGAGAGGACTTATTCTGAGCTGATAAGGAAGTTGAAACAAAAAGGGCTGCTGATTAGCTGATTAACCAAATTGAAGCAAGGTCTGAACAAACCTCAACTTAACTAAGTCCTGCTTTAGATTCTAAATGGCAGGATGTCTCTCACGTAATCTCCTATTTAAATAAAAAGATAAGGATTCTAACTTCTTTAACCTCTAGGGCTGAGAGAGACAGTCATAAAATACGCTTCCTGTGAGCAAGTATTAGGCTTTGAAATATATACCTGCTGTAATTTCATCAAGGCCCCCTCCTTCCTTTTAAACTTCTTCTCTGTTCTTCCTTTGTGCTTAAACTGTGACTATTTTGGAGGGAAGAAAGCAGTCCAATGTCTTTTTCTCCTAGCTGCTGACAGTTTCTAGAATAAAATAATTCTTTTTTTTCCTTGGCTGGAGTGCAGTGGCGCAATCATGGCTCACTGCAGCTCTGACCTCCTGGGCTCAAGCAATCCTCACACCTCAGTCACCTGAGTAGCTGGGACTACAGGCATGAACCACCACATCTGGCTGGTTTTTCTTTTCTACTTTTTGTCGAGACAAAGTCTTGCTGTGTTGCCGAGGCTGGTCTTGAACTCCTAGGCTCAAGGAAACCTCCCGCCTTGGCCTCCCAAAGTGCTGGGATTATGGGCGTGAGTCAACATGCCCAGCTAACAACTGATTTTTAGTTGATTACTCATGGTTTTTTTCTTTCTTTTGTTTTATTTAAGTAACAATTACTGTTAACATTTATTATTTACCAAGTGCTGTGCTCTGTTCTAAGAATTACACAAGTATTAACTAATTTAATCTCCACAACCATCCTATGAGGTAGGCAGCTTTATTAATTGTATAGATGATGAAATGGGCACGAGTTTGGGTAACATGCAAAAGATCACACACCTGGAAAGTCGTGAGGCCAAAATCCATGCCCAGGCAGTCTGTCTCCAAGGCCCATACTTCCTACCAGTACTCTGCTGCCTCTCAGTTTTTGGAAATGAATTTTTCCTTTGGAGAGCAATGCAGTCACCTCACCAGAGAAAAGATTTTGCATAACACATTCTAGTAGTGCTTCCTCTTGCTACTATTCTGGTGTTATTGGAAATTTACTTCTCCAAATGAACTGTGTGCTATTCAACAAAATGAAGCTGCTCACTCTGAACTGTCTCAAACAGTGAAATACGGTCAGAAGTGACTTTGATCACAAGAGAAGTTTTATTCGGCTACTCAGGCTGGACCCTTTAGCCTACGAGAGCACCAATAACCCCGAAAATCACGAGGCACGCCCTTATCAGATGTCAGCAGAGTCGGCCCAGGGAACACGAGGGGCTGAGATTTTAAGGCCTTTCCTGACAGCTAGACACTAGAAACACGAAATCCACGCGACCGATCGTAGCGTCACTTCTGCCACCAAACACAAAGCTCGCCGAACCTGTAAGCTCTGAAGTGGCGTCGCCGGGGTCTGTTGCTGTGGCTGCGGGAGGCAGGCAAGGTGGCCGAAAGGTGTGGACAGCTGGCCAGCAGGCGGAAAGTCGTTCTTTACCACTGGAGTTCTAAAGCTGGGAGAGATTTGGCTTTGAATGGAAAACACTAACATGGGGAGAACAGGACTCATATTCAGTTTCCATGTGTTCTAAAATGTTGAAACAAACTTAAAGGTGCTACGTCAAACACGACCCAAGTTAATTTCCATAATCTGGTTGATAGTTATTTATTCCAGATGCACCACCACCAGATATTTTATTTGGGGAATTCTTTCTGAAAGTCATTCTTGGTATCCACACAAGAAATCTTTGTTAGTAAGATAAGATGGCATTTAAAATGTGGGCTTAGGGCTATTTTATAAGAATTTTACAAAGGTCAGCTTATGACTGACCACAAATTTTTATGAGTGTTTTGATTTATTTATTTATTTATTTATTTAGAGTTGGAGTCTCACTCCATCGCCCAGGCTGGAGTGCAGGGGCATACTCACGGCCACCCTTGCGCCAACCTGCTGGGTTCTGGCCATCCTTCTGCCTCAGCCTTCCAAGTAGCCAGAACTACAGGTGCACGCTACCACGCCTGACTAATTTTTAAAATTTACTGTAGAGATGAGGTCTTGCCAAGTTGTCCGAGCTGGTCTTGAACCCGCGAGCTAAGGCAATCTACTTGCCTCAGCTGGGATTGCAGACTAAGCCACCGAACCCAGCCTATGAGTGTTTTTTAATAATAAGGTTCTAAAATGGCCTGCTAGAAATATCTGGAAGCCTATTATGTTAGAGGAGTTGGGCCTTTGAGCTTAAATCTGTTCAGTATACACTTGTACTTTGTTGTCTTGCCTGCTGATGTATCACTGATACCTAGAACAGTGTTTGGCCCAAAGGAGCCCTACAAATACTAACAATCTAATGTCACAAGAAATACCTATAGCACTATTTTAGTTAGCAATCATTCTTTAAAATATTCTACATAAAATAAGATGAGACAATATAGAGCAAAGTCATATTAAATAGGCAAGAGGCTGGTTATAAAACCTCTAAGGCCAGTTTCTAAGACAAAAGATGACATTATGAAAATGAAAAGCGAGAGGCACCTGGACTTAAGCTATCCCCAAGGCATTAAAAATATAGCTTCTAGCCAGATGCGGTGGCTTAAGCCTGTAATTCCAGCACTTTTGAAGGCCAAGGCGAGAGGATTGCCCGAGCCCAGGGGTTTAAGACCAGCTCGGGCAACTTGGCAAGACTGCGTCTCTACCATAAATCAAAAAATTAGCTGGGCGTGGTAGCGCGTGCCTGTGGTTCTGGCTACTTGGAAGGCTGAGGTGGAAAGATCACCTGAGCCCAACAGGCCAAGGCTGGGGTGGCAGTGAGCGTGCCACTGCACTCTAGCTTAGGTGACAGAGTGAGGCTCCAACTAAAAAAAAAAAAAATAAAAAAATATATATATATATATGTATATATATATATGTATATATATATATATATATATATATGCCACTAGTTTCCATGATTATCAAAAAGTCTTGTATCTTTAGAGTATTTATAGATTGTAGGTACAGATTATAATATGACAGAGACTACATTCATAACAATCCTTAAGAATATACATTATTAGGCTAGGCACAGTGGCTTATGCCCGTAATTCCAGCACTTTGAGAGACCAAGGCAAGAGGACTGCTTGAGCCCAGGAGTTTGAGACCAGCCTGGGCAACATAGTGAGATCTCATCTCTACAAAAACTAAAAAAATGAGCTGGGTGTGGTGGCATGTGCCTATAGTCCCAGCTACCCAGAAGGCTAAGGTGGGAGGATCGCCTGAGCCCAGGAAGTCAAGGCTGCAGCGAGCAATGGCCATATCGCTTCATGCCAGTCAGGGCACCAGATTAAGACTCCTACTTAAACAAAACAAAACAAAAACCTGATGCTGAGAAAAATAATAGGACTTGGAAAGTCTTTAAATCACAGAGCAGGAATCAATCCCAGATCAATCTGACCTAGAATCCCACGTTAATTCTATCCTACCACCCTGTTTCCCAAGCTAGGGCCAAAAGTAATTACCAGCTCATGTAATCATCTAAGGTATTGCTGCTCGGTGTCTTACAAATAGATTTTGGATCAAACCACTTCGGTGCTGATACTGGTGGTGACTGTTTTGAAACTGGAAGGACAGGTTGCTCAAAAATGGTATGTTTCTGCTAAAACAAAATTTAAAAACACCATGGTTTAGACTTTGTCCATCAGTTAACTGCTTAATAGCTTTACAAACATTACAACTTTTAAAAGAAAATAATAAAATGTGAAATACAAAAATATATTAAAACAGAAAAGCATATAAGGGGGGACCCCAAAAAGACCATAGAATTTATTTACAAAAAATTGTGGGCTTATCCTTACATGTTTAAACTCCAGTCACCTTCAAAGTACTCTCTGCTGGATGCAACACACCTATCGAGACACTTTTTCCACGGCTCAAAACGGTTTCTGAACTTGTCAATTTTGATGCCTTTTAGTGCTTCTGCTATTTTTTGTTTCACCTCTTCCATGTTGGCGAAACGTTTCCCTTTAAAGAGCATTTTCACCGCAGAAACAAACAAAAAGTCATTCAGGGTGAGGTCAGGTGAATAGGGAGGGTGGGGGTACAGAGGCCATACTGTTTTGAGTCAAAAACTACTGAACGCTCAGCATGGAGCGAGCAGGGGCACTCGGAAATCACCACCGTGAAATGGGCAAACGTGTTGAAAGAATCGCTGTAAAAAATTAACCGAAGCCAAACATGGTCTTCTCATAACAATGCTAGCTGGTACACTGATGCTGGTGGGTTCCTCGAACACCCATCTATCAGAGGAAGTATGTACTACAAGGGGCCCATCCTCCAAAAATATTTAGGGTGTTTTTTGGGTCTCCCCTCATATGCACTTCAGACTTCCAATAACTTTTTAGTATAGTTCTTTCACTCCAAACTCTTAAGCCTAGTGCATTTTGTCCAAGCTGATTACAAGAAGGCAAAAAATTGTTTAAAAAAACAGAATCTAGGCCAGGTACAGTGGCTCATGCTTATAATCCCAGAACTTTGGGAGGCCGAGGTGAGAGGACTGCCTGAGCCCAAGGATTCAAGACCAGCCTGGGCAACTTGGCGAGACCTCATTTCTACAATTAAAAAACCCCCCCAAAACAAAAAGAGAATCAAACATCCTCCTCCATCAGAGCTATTGTAACAAGCACTAAACTTTTATAATCTAATAAAGTACTCTATGCTTCTGAAATTAGCCTTTAGCTAATAAAACTCTATTCCTCTCCTTCCAAATGTTGTCAAATACTAATAATTACTTAGCAAAATTTGGAGTGGCATATGCCTATCTTGTGTTCTCCCTCTGTAGAAACCACAATCTATAGAATTCATTTTGTACACATCCCAAACAAGAATAAACAAACGTCCTTGATAGCAGGGATCAGCAAATTTCCGCCTACAAGCTGAATCTGGCCTGCCACCTATTTTTTGTGAACAAATTTTTAATGGATCATGGCGATGCCAATTCGTTTCCATATCATCTGTGGCTTTTGTTTTCATGCTGTAATGGAAGAGTTGAAAAGTTGCAACAGAGACCTTTTGGCCTGCTAAGCCCACTAACCCTTTATGGATAGTTTGCTAAGTCCTAAAGCACAGCATCTCAGCCAAAAAGAGCACCTCATATTTCTTAAACACATTTGGGAACTGGTTGCTCACTACTGTCTAGAGACTCACTTAATTTGGGGATAGCTTTAGTTATTAGAAAGTATTTGCAGATATTTAGAGTCAGCTGGTTTCTGTCATCATTTCTACACACTGGTCCTTATTATGCTCTCGAGGACCACAATGGATACATCTATTCTACATCTTCATTTCAGTCCTTTTAAGTTTTGAAGATGGGTGGCCCTTTTCCTTGATACATTTTTCCTCTAAGCTTTTCTCAGGTGTGTGTATATCCATCTACATGTAGGAGTGATAAAGATGTCATTGAAAAACTGCTGTGATAAGATTATTGCACAAGGAAAACGGAGAAGCCTGTGGCCATAGAGTAGGATGTTTCCACTGGAGACTCTGGAAGGCAGAATCGAGGATTCAGGAGTGGGGGGCTCAAGTGAAATTAAGGAAATGGGTGCGCGAGAGGAAGAAGTTACTGAATGTAGGCCAGCTGCAGGGCTAGGAGACACAGGGGAGCGGAAGTCAACAAAAGCGATGACGACTGCAGGGGTCTGGGTTGTCCGGGGCCTCTCTCTTCAAGAAACCCTCGGGAGTCCGCAGGGCATTTAGTGACGACAGCACGACAGAAGCCTCAAGAGAGCAGGCCTTCTGCGAGAAAGAGAAGGGGTCTGGACATAGCAAGGGGGCCTTCATAGCGATGAGGTGTGATATGATATAAGCTCCTTTTGAAAAGGGCTGCTGGACAGGCAGTTGCTACAAGAAACTGCCTAGCTTCTTTTTTTTTCTAAGTGTACTAGCCAATGATTGTTAGCATATTCACAGTTGTGCAACCATTACCACTAGCGAATTTCAGAATGTTTTCCTTGCCTAAAAAAGCCCCTCTGCCTTAGCGATCACTTCCCATTCTCCACTGCTCTTGGTCCCTAGCAACCAGCAATCCACTTTCCATCTCTAAGGGATCCACCGATTAAGACCATTTTATTTAAATGGGCTCACATAATAAAGGTCTTTCGTGATGTGCTTCCTTCACTTAGCATGTCTTGAATGCTCATCAACGTTGTAGCATGTACTAGTATTTCACTATTTATTGGTGAATAACACTCCACTGCATGGATGTACCACATTTTGTCTATCCCTTCATCAGGTGACAGCTATTTTGCTATTTCCACTGTTGGCAAGTATGAAGATGCTGCTATGAATATTCATATAAAAATATTTGTGTTGATACATGTTTTCAGTTCTCTTGACTACAAGCCCAGGAGCAGAACTGCTGGCTCATAGGATAGCAACTCGATGCTTAATTTTGTGAGGAACTGCCAGACTGTTTCAAAGTGGCTGTACCATTTTATATTCCCACCAGCAGGGCTACTGTCTCTTTTTTAATTATGGTTTTCCTAGTGGGTATGAATGCTATCTAATTATGGTTTTGATGTGCATGTCCTTAATGATCCATAAGTCGTTCTGAGTTTTCTTGCCATCCTGTTAACTTACAAGCTTGTTTACTATGATCCCTGATTCAACCTGTCATGATCCTTATCTTCTAACATTTGTCACCTATGTTTATTACTTAGATCAGTTGTCCAGGAATCTGGAAACGGGGCGTGCCCATGACCCCTCTAGGGGTATGAGAAGTTAAAGTTATTTCCATAATAATACTAAGACAGTACTTTCCTTTCTCCCTTTTATTTCCTTGTGAGCATGTATTGGAGTTTTCCAAAGATTATATGATATGTGATAATGAAATGGATTGAATACAAAAGCAGATACATGAATCTAGTCTTCTGTTAAGCCAATCATTGAAGAAATTTGCCAAAACTATAAAACAATGACACTAACCTCGCTATAGTTATTTTGCTTCAAAAAATACTTTTCAAAACAGTCTATTTATATTAAAATATAATGGGTTTATCATAGTCATTTTTAATAAATATTTTTAAAGTATAAAGAGAACTATAACCCACATAAACCAAAGCTCTTTAGTGACCTTGATAATTAAGAGCATAAGGGGTTCCAAAATGTTCAAGAACCACTGATTTAAAACATAAGACTTTTACTGCCTTTACTATAAGTCACTGAAAAGAAATGGCGAGGGTGAGGAAAATGACCATTATTTGTAGGTATGGCTCTCCAGCAGTCCACCAGGTCATTCCTTCTGCAAAGACCACCGGGCACAGTCATTCAACATGTTACAAATTCACATACATTGTCTAACCTATATTTTTCTATTTTTATCAATGTGTAAGACCATGGGAAATTGTTAAGTGTTCGGGGTGGCATTGTACTAGCCCAGGGATCAGCACACAGTTTTCTGCTAAGGACCCGATAGTACACATTTTAACTTTTGCAGGCCAGATGGTCTCCAATGCAACTACTCAACTCTGCTCTTCTTGTGCAAAAGCAGCCACACATAATAAATACATGTGTTCCAATGAACTTTTATTTACACAATCAAGCTGAGAGCCAGTCACTGCACCAATCTACCAGCAATCCAGAAACGCTGACTGAGCCTGTGACTGCCACTAATCATCATTTGGCACATGACTAAAAAAACACTTTAAATAAAGTATTCTACTAAATATAGTGTACAATTTAATAAAAGAAAACACTGAATATGACCACCAGACTTCAGAAATGCATATGAGCAAACAGCAACATTGAGCTTTCGTGGAAAAGAAAGTCACCTCTGTATCAACCTTTGGAGTTAGCTCTGGAATCTGCCACGGATTTGAGGACGCAACTGGATTCTGGCTCACGCATTCCGACGTCCTTTTGGATTGCCACTGTTTCTGGTGACTCTCTGGAACCTTTGGTTCTTGGTGCACTTTCGCTTCTGAAATTGTATTTGTTGTCATCATTAAAAAGCAAAAATATTTGAGAATAAGAGAACTAACCTTAAACTACAGAACACATACAAAATATGCTAATATTTTGCTCTTAAAAACAAAACAAAACACAAGGAAAGACAGATCACTAAAAGCTGTAAGCCAGCTACTTCCAATTTGCTTTTGGAAAGTCAATTTCACAAAGTTGCAACTGAGTCACCTCCCTAAATCCTTACTCAGAGCTTTGTCCAAGACCATTTCAGCTTTAAGGCCCACTGGCTTCTTCTCTTTACCAGTAGGCAAATAAAGCAATAAGCAAAAATTTTAAAACATATGGATGTTATAAAGTTTTATGAATAAAGAGAAATTAATTTACCACTTTTCACAGACCTCTAGTGTAACATAAATTCTTTATCGTATGTTAGCTTGTAATTTACTCTCTCAAGGGTCTACAAACAAAAGTGCCTCAACAACTTATTTATTCTGTGAGGATCAAAATTCCTTTCTTGATAATAGGTGCAACAACCTTAAAAAATATAAGCTGTTGCTATACAAAAAAGATAACAAATTATATCCAAATTGGGTTTATTTCTAAATGCAAAGTTTGCTTAATATTTGAAAATCAATGTAATTTGCCACAGGTGCAGAACAGAGAGGGAAAATACATAATCAACTAAATAGAGGCATAAAAAACATTTGGAGCCAGGCTCAGTGGCTCAGCCTGTAATCTCACACCTTTGGGAGTTGAGGTGAGTGGATTGCCTGAGCCCATGGGTTTGAGACCCGCCTGGGCAGGTGAGACCTCATCTCTACAATAAATCAAAAAATTAGCTGGGCATGGTAGCGCGCGCCTGTAGTTCCAGCTACTTGGAAGGCTGAGGTGGAAGAATCGCCGGAGCCCAGCAGGTTGAGGCTGCGGTGGCCGGGAGCGGCCACTGCACTCCAGTCTGGGCGACAGAGTGAGACTCCAACTCAAAAAAAAAAAAAAATTGGGGAAAATTCAATACCCAGTCACGGCAAGACTATTATTAGCATACTAGATATAAAACAGAACTCACTGGACTTGATGAAGGGTAGTCACTAAACTACAGCAATCATCGTATTAAGGGGAAAATACTGAACGCTTTCCCTTAAAATAAGGAATGAGACGAGAATGGCATCTACCATCCCCTTCTATTCGTCATTATACTGAAGGTTTTAGCAATTACACTAAGGCAAAGAAAAGAAATAAGAGGTAAAAAGATTAGAAAGAAAAAAGCTATACTATTTTCAAGTAACATGATTAGGTACCTATAAAAACCCAATGATTCCATAGAATTAATCATTGAATTTGGTCCTGTCACTGTATCAATAAGTAAAACTCAACTGTATTTTTATACGCTAACACATTAGTAAAAGATAAAACTTTTTTAAAAAGATACTACTCATTATCATAGCATCCGAAAAAGATATCAGCTATCCAGGAACAAATCTAACAATAGATATTTAAAATCTCTAAACAGAAAATAATCTGAATACTTTAAATAAATGAAAGGATATGACAGATTAGCAGTCTACAAAACTTAATTGTAAACATGACAGCTTGTCCCAAATTTCTTTATAGGTTCAATGAGCTCTCAATCAAAATCCCATTTTTAAAAAATGACGACTCAAAAAATAGATTCTAGTAATAGAGTCCATAGGTTAGAGTAGGGAAATTATCAGGGCTATATGAAAATGTGGAAACCAGTGAAAACTTGCAAATCTCCTCCAACTTCAAGACTGCTAGAAAGTTCAAAAAAACAGTTAGAAAAGCTCTCACCCAACATGCCTGCTGCAGCCTACTCAGGACGTTGTGGTTGGGAGCTAACTCCCAGGGCAGGAACTAGCTTGGAGACCACCTGGAGTACGCGCATCAATCGCCAAGGTTAACCTAAGATAACCATGACCTACTTTTGCCTTCATGATGTGCTCATCGGCATCCTAAGCGACACACCCTCTAGCCCCATGACAGTTCCAACCCTGCCCACTTATAGCAATAAATTGGGTGGCACTCTAATTCCAAGAATTGTCCATCCGTTTCTTAGAAATACCCTTTAATACCCAGAATATCCTACTCCTTCGTTATCATAGCTCTCAAAACACTTAAGCCCAAGACCCCCAGCATGACACTTCCTTGTGTTCACCTGCACTTCACCCTGAAGTGTATACTATTTGTTGCTTCCACTTTTAATAAACTTACTAACTGCCTCACTACTTTTGACAAGCTCAGAAAATCTTTTATGCTGTGAAGTCAAGAACCTAACACAGAACACTGGTTAACGGCCACAAAATCCTGGTAACACTAGTATTCATATGAAAATCCAAAAGGTTGGAATGGTCAAAATAGTCTTGAAGAACAAAACTGAAAAACTGACATTGACAGATAACGCAACTTCCTGCAGTTACGAAGGCAGTTATTAGCACAGACAAAAATGGTACTATTTTTGGTACTATGGTACAGAGAAGAATCCAAAATCAGACGCCATACACGGAATCACAATTATTCTTACAACAATTCAGTGAAGGAAGAGGATATTTTCTTTTTTTTTTTCTTTTTTAAAAAGCAGGATTTATTGAGAGAACAGAATAGCTCCCAGAGCAGGAGGGGACCTGAAGGGGCTGCCCAAGGAACTTTTCAATAAATGATGCCAGGTCAACTGGATATCAACATGGGGAAGGAAAATGAATCTTGATAGTTGATCCTATACATATATACATAATAAACTCAGGGAGAAAACATAAATCTAAATGTGAACGGTAAGATGATAGATACATCTAAAAAGTATGGAAATATCTTGCCTAATGGCAGGCCATAAATCCTTCCTTACTGGAGACAGCACTTATTTTTTAGCCCAGAGAAGGTACCAGAGGAATCTGTGAACAGATTTTACTATCTTCTCGCACCTTCCTGACTTTTAAGACTGGAAGTGTTCTCTCCTTTGTTTCCAGAAAACATCTGTCGAGCCAACTGAGAAAAATAAATCCATTCCATTGTATTTTCCCTCCACTCTTCCTTTACCTTATAGGCAAATAAACTTTCTTTGCTCCAGGATTCAACACTTTTCATACATCCTATAGAAGCGAACTGAAATACAAGAGAAAGGAACTTAGACACAGACTAGCATTGCAGTTCTTAGGTGGCCAGTCTGCTTTCTCAAGTCATAAGGTGGTTTTCTTAATTAGAGAAAAGTCTACTTATTTTGTCACTCTTACCTTCTAATCTAGTTAGAAGACTTGGTTCTATTTTATTCTTCAGTGTTATTGAATCAGTAGTAAGTTCAGAACTCTTTTCATCTGACACCAGAGTTTCTTTGGAATGAATATTTTGAACAGACTACATGAAAAAAAAGAGAAGTCAAATAAACAAGGTCCAATGAATAGTAGTAGTACAAGTTTATCTCATTGCTCAATATATTAAAGTTTCACATGTATAAGGAGATTGCTAACAAAATATTCTATTCTAACCACATGTACACTCACAGTCCCAGCAAAGATTAACTGCCTGGATTATTGATTAGAACAATGGGAAGGGTCATAACCCTTCCCAATTTGTCAATGGACATATTAATAAACTGCAAAAATACATTTCACTTAAAAAAAGAAAGCATTATAGGATTTAAACCCTATGTAGAATGTCTCAAGACAAGAGAAAAAATTTAAGTAACAAAATTAGTACAAGTTACCATTTTGTTACTGATTGTTATTTTTTCACCAAAATTAACAGATCAGTCAATATTAATATCTGTATAACTCTAAGACAATAGTTACTCTAAATCCAGAGTAAACTTTTGACACAATTATGCCCTGCTCTCTAGGATAGCCATGTCTAGCAAAAATTAATATTGCAAAGCATAAATCATGAAAGAGAGAGGCATTACAAAGAATATAAAATTGAGGCCAGGTGGGGTGCTCACGCCTGTAATCCCAGCACTTTGGGAGGCTGAGGCGAGGGGGTGTCTTGAGCTCAGGAGTTGGAGACCAGTCTGGTCAACATAGTGACTTCTCATCTCTACAAAAAATTTAAAAATTAGCTGGGCATGGCGGCCTGCATTTGGAGCGCCAACTACCTGGAAAGCTGAGACAAGAGGATTGCCTGAGCCATGATCATGGCAGTCCATCCTGGGCAACAGAGTAAGACCCTGTCATACATACATACATAAACAAATAAATAAAACCGAGAAGAACTATATCTTGATGGCAGGGTTTTAGCTCAATGACAGTAAGAATAGTACAACCACTAAATCACAGCGCACCAGGAACTAAAACCACTTCCTCTCCCTGAAGTCCACAGAATGTGGACAGAGGTGTTCCTTCACGGCTTTCCCGAGAGACTGCTGCTCTTTGCTCTACCACCTTAACCTTGGAGAAACACCCAGTCAGGACCTCTGCACTCACTGCTTCCCATGGGTGGTGCCACACCTCTTGGGGAATCAGGCACATGTTAGAAATACAGAAACGATGATGCCTTTCCCCAGAAAAAAGCTCCCACGAATCCTGATCCTCCTAGATTGGGTACCCGTGCTTCATACGAAGATTAGACAGTGAAATACCTTCAAGTTTCTCAATTCGCTAGCATCATTTCCACTTGATTTGGATCCAGGGACAACCAAATTCCGGCATTCTGGTTTAGCGGTCTGTCTTTTACTCATGAAATAAAATATTTTAATAGTAAATTAGAAATCAGTCTTTTCAGTGTACCTTCATTTTAAAGCTGGCTTTTTCACAATAGGCACAACAACTGAAGGATAAGGACCAGGGTACCAACTCTTACTGGTCTCCCCAGCACCTACCACAGCCTATCACAGAGGAACTAAGACAATGGCCGACGTTTTTCTGGTTTTGCTTGTTTTTTGGGAGTGAAAGAAAATCTCCTTTATTCTTCAGCTAGATATTTTAAATGGAGATGAGCAAGAGGTTTTATGATAGCTTGACCTTGACACTCACAGTGCTCCTTTAATGTTGACATTTAGCCAAGACCTCCACGCAACAGAAATTGAGGCATGGAAGACACCAGCCAGCGGCTATCAGTTGTGTTCCTAAAGCTTCCTTGCAAGAGCACGCCTGGGAGTCCCAGGCGCCTAGCCCGGCACAAGTGACACCATCAGTGGTGCTCGGACACACGAACAGGCCAGACCTGCAGGCAAGACGGCGAGCGACTAGGTGGGACAGCGAGGCTCCGCAACAGCGCGGTCCACGAGGACTCGCCGGCTGAGTGGGCGTGCGGGTGGGGGGGTCTCTTCGAGGGGAGCCGGGCTCCCGCACCGGGGCTCTCCCGGAGACGACCGCGCCCCCGCGCCCTGAGGTCGGAGACCCCAGCGCAGGAGGGCCTGCCACCCGACCTGGCCCCGGGAGGCAGGGAGTGGAAATCGGAAGAAAGCTCCGAGGCGGGGAGGGGCCGCCCGGGCCCACCTTCTGCGCCCCGGGGCCAGGGAGAGGCTCGGCTGCCCAGCCCAGCTCGCCCGGCCTCTGGCCTCCATCTGGAGGCCCAGCAGCTCTCTTCGCGGCAGACACGAGAGGCAGCCCCCCACCCCCCACCAGAACAGGTCCAGACTTCCGATCTGAGTGGGAGGCCTGGTGGCCGGCAGCCAGCAGGGCGTGGGCCTGGATCCCACCCGGCCTCCTCCCACAGCAGTCTGGGGGCATCTGAGCCAGTGAGAGCCGGCTGCGCTGGGGACTGGAGCCCCTTCCGAAGGCGGAGGGCTGAAAAGAACCCGGACTCACCGACACCGCCAGAGAATGAGTTTGGGTCGTGTTTGTAGCTTTCCCCCTTCTCTCTCTCTTTCTGGTTTGATCCACGTCTTTGTACTTGCTTTGTTTATGCTATTTTTAATCTTTTGGGGAGGGAGAGTACACCAACGGGGGGGGGGATTATTTGTTTGTATGACTGTTGGTTTTTGTCTTTTATGTTTTTTGTCTGTTTCTCTGTCTGTCTCTGTCTGTTCACTAGTCAGTTGGTACATCTGCTTTCCCTCTTCTTCTCTCACTCAACCTTCCTCTCATCTTCCCCTTTCCATTTCCCATTCTTTCCCCTTCTCTTATCTCGTTTTGCTTTCAGGGGGCCCATGCACCTGCCAGTGGACACTGGGGTCTGCAGATAGCTTCTGAAGCACAGCTCTCCCATCAACTGAATCCCAAAACTGCAAAAAACACAGGCCCCCACCCCAGTCCAGCTTCAGAACTGAACAACAACTGAACTGAACTGAACAAGAACTGAACATGAGGAGGAATAGGAGACTGAGAAAACAGAAATAAAATCGACCCCCCCATCCCTGAACAACAGAATTAAAGAAGAGGTTTGAAAAAAGGCAAGGGTTGGGGGGAGAGAGGGAGGAAAACCTATACAAATGAAAAAAAACCAAAGGAAGAATATGAGTCTCACAACACAGACCCCTGAGAGATCAGTCACTGGGAATACAGACTCCAGAACTCAAACAATGAAGAGCCCACAGAATGACTGGTCTCAAACCACAAACCCAGATATCAAGACATTAATACACAGAATAAATAGAAATAAGGAGAGACAAGAGGGAAGAACAAAGGAGTTGATAACTGAGATAACAGCAATAAAGAACACAGTGAATGAAATAAAGAATAAACTGATAAGCATGGAAAGCAGAATTAACTAAGCAGAAGAAAGAATCTCAGAGCCTGAGGACTAAAATATGAAACTAACCCAAACTGTTAAAAACAGAAAAGAAGCTTAAAAAGACAGAATGAAACCTTCAAGAGATGAGCGACTATTTCAAGAGACCAAACAGAAAATTAACGGTTCCAGAGACCACTCTGGAACAAACATTCCATGAAATTATCCAAGAAAACTTCCCTCATCTCATCAGTGATATAATCATTCAAACACAAGAGATTCATAGAACCCCTGCAAGACAACAAATGAGAAGACCAACTCCCAGACACATGGTAATTCCTCTACACAAAGTAGGTATAAAAGAAAAAATTCTAAAAGCAGCAAGAGAGAAAGGTCAGACTACGTAAAGGGAAATACCAATTAGAACAGCAGCAGACTTACCTACAGAAACACTTCAGGCTAGGAGAGCTTGGAGCCCAATCTTCAAAGTTTTCAAAGATAAACAATTTCAGCCAAGAATTACTTACGCAGCTAAGTTTTATCAGTGATGGGGAATTTAAATCCTTCCCAGACATTCAATCCCTAAGAGTTTACACTGCCTCCATACCAGCTCTACAAAAATACTTTCTTAAGAAAGTATTAATCACAGAAGGAAAAAAAAAGAAGAATGACAATGTCCTTCACAGAAATGCAGGAAAAAAGATTGAAAAAACATGAATCAACTAAAAAATCAAAAGACAACAAACAAACAAATAGCAGCAACAACAACAAACTCTATAAGAACCTCATGACAGGGATAAACTCTCACATCTCAAATTAGCCTGAATGTAGCCTGGACTAGATATACCACTGAAAAGACACAGAATGGCAAAATGGATAAAATATTACAAGGCTGCAATATATTGTCACCAAGAGACTCATCTCACTAGAAAGGACACTCACAGACTCAATGTAAGAGGATGGGAAACAAAATTTCAGGCAAACAGAAAATAAAAGAAAGCAGGAGTCCCAATCTTAATATCAGAAAAAATACCCCTTAAGCTATCAAAAATTTAAAAAGATACAGAAGTCACTACATAATGATAAAAGGTTCAATCCACCAGCAAGAAATCTATCCTAAACACATATGTTCCCAACAAAGGGGCGCCAACATTCATAAAGCAGCTTCTAGGTAAAGCAAAAAAAGCAACTGACTCTAACAGTATCATAGCTGGGGAGTTAAATACCCCACTAACAACCCTAGACAGATCGTCAATTCAAGTCAGCAAGGAGATCCGGAACCTCAACGTGACACTTGACCAAATGCACTTAATTGATACCTGCAGAACACTCCACCTAACAACCATGGAATATGCATTCTACTCATCACCACATGGAACATGCTCTAAGATCAACCACATCCTCGGCCATAAATCAAGCATAAAAAAATTCCATAAGGTTGAAATTCTGCCATGCACCTTCTCAGACTACAGTGGAATAAATATCAATATAAATACGAACAAAGTTCCCCCCAAACTCACAAAGACATGGACACTAAACACCATGATGCTAAACAATCCCTGGGTCAACACAGAAATCAAAACAGAGATTAAAAGATACCTGGAAACAAATGAAAAGAAGAAACATCTTACCAAAATCTCTGGGATGCCATGAAAACAGTACTAAGAGGGGAATTAATATCACTACAAACATACATAAAGAAGATGGAAAGATCACAAGTTAGCAGCCTAAAAAACCACCTAAGGAAGTTGGAAAAGCAAGGCCATCAAAACCCTAATTACAGCAGAAGAATTCAGATCATCAAAATAAAAGCCCAAGTTCAGGATATACAAGACAAAAATACAATTAAAAAAAAAAAAATGAAACCAAGAGCTGGTTTTTTGAAAGGATAAACAAGATTGATGTTCCCCCAGCTAGACTGGCCAAGAAGAAGAGAGAAAAAGTCCAAATAAACACAATCAGAAACGCAAAGGATGAAGTCACAACTGATACCGAAGAAATATTATCAAAAAACAAAAGATTATCAGAGATTACTATGTATACCTGTATGGAAACAAACTTGAAACTTAAATGAAATGTTAGGATTTTCTTACATCACACAACCTCCCCAGGTTGAAACAAAGAAACTGACACCCTAAATAAAACAATAACAACCCAGGAGATCAACTATGTCATAAGAAAACTACCTACAAAAAAGGTTTAGGCCATATGAATTTCCAGCAGAATGCTACAAAACATACAAGGAGGAGCTGATACCAAGTATTCCAGGCAACCGAAAAAGATGGAACTCTCCCCAAATCATTTTATGAAGCTAACATCACACTGATACTCAAGTCAGGTAAAGATCCAGCAAAGATCTTACAGACCAATATCCTTGATGAACATAGATGCTAAAATTCTCAACAACATATCTCAAAAATCATCCACTATGACCAGGTAGGCTTCATCCCTGGGATGCAAGCCTGGTTCAACATCCACAAGACCATAAACGTAATTAAATACATCAACAGATATAAAGACAAAAACCACATAATTATGTCATTAGACACAGAAAAAGCTTTTGATAAAATCCAACACCCTTTCTTGAAAAAACCCTTGAACATCTAGGCACAGATGGAACATACCTCAACATAGTAAGAGTCATCTATGAGAAACCAACAGGCAATATACTGTTAAACAGATATAAATTGGAACCATTTCCCCTGAAAACCGGAACAAGACAAGGATGCCCACTCTCACCCCTCTTGTTCAACATAGTATTGGAAGTTCCAGCTACAGTAATCAAACAAGAGAAGGAGTACCCAGATAGGAAAAGATGAAGTTAAGTTATTCCTCTTTGCAGACGACATGATTCTATACCTCAAAAACCCAAGAGAATCTGCCAAAAACCTCCTTGCACTGATAAAGAACTTTGGCAAAGTCTCAGAGTATAAAATCAACGTACAAATGAGTTGCATAAATAAACAGAAACCCAAATAAAAAGCACAATCCCATTCACAATAGCCACCAAAAAAAAGAAAGAAAAAAAGAAATACCTTGGCATCTTCCTAACCAGAGAAGTCAAAGACCTTTACAACGAAAACTACAAAACACTGCTCAAAGAAATCAAAGATGACACAAACAAATGGAAAAATATTCCCTGCTCATGGATTCGAAGAATCAACATTGTAAAGATGTCCATTCTACCCAAGGCAAGCTACAGGCTTAACGCAATGCCCATTAACTTATCAGTAGCTTTCTTCTCAGACCTGGAAACAGTACAGGAATGATCACAAATAGCTAAAACAATCCTCAGCAAAAGAAACAAGTAGGAGGTATCACACTCCCAGACTTTAAACTTTATTGTAAGTCTTGAATAATCAAAACAGCCTGGCATTGATACCAGAACAGGCATATAGACCAATGAAACAGAATAGAGATTCCAGAAGCAAAACATCAATTTCTCAACCAACTCATCTTGGACAAAGCCTCCACCAACAACCACTGGGGAGAGGAAAACCTATTCAGTAAATAGTGCTGGGAAAATTGCTGACCACATGCAGAAGATTAAGACCCCTACCTATCACCATACACAAAAGTCAATGCTAAATGGATCAAAAACCTAACTGTAAAACCTTAAACCATGAGAACCTTAGAAAATACAGGAGACACCCTTATAGAAATTGGAACTGGCAACCAATTCTTGATCAAAACCCCAGGTGCCCACATCATAAGAGATAGATAGACAAGATAGATAGACAAGTGGGACCTCATCAACCTGACAAGCTTCTGCAAAGTCAAAGAAACCATCAAGAGAGCAGGGAGACAGCACACAGACTGTGAAAAAATATTTGCCCTCTGTATATCTGACAAAGGCCTAACATCTATATCTACAAGAAACTCAAATGTGTTGAAAAGAAAAAAGCAAACAGCCCCATTACAAAGTGGGCAAAGTTATGAATAGGCACTTCTCAAAAGAAGACAGACGAGCAGCCAACAGATACATGAAAAAATGTTCAGCCTCACTAGTCATCAAAGAAACGCAAATTAAAGCCACACTGAGAGACCACCTAACTCCAGTCAGGATGGCCATCATCAATAACTCAAAAAACAAGAGATGCTGGAGAGGATGCAGGAAAAACACTACGCTGCTGGTGGGAGTGCAAACTAGTACCACCTCTGTGGAAAACAGTTTGGTGATTCCTAAAAGGTCTAAAATTTGAGCTTCCATATGACCCCACAGTTCCCCTACCAGGAATATATCCGGAGGAACTCAAATCACTCTATGGAAAAGATACCTGCACACACAATTATCGCAGCATTGTTCACAAGAGCAAGAACATGGAACCAACCGTGCTGCCCATCAAAAGAGGACTAGATAAAAAAAATGTGGTACATATACACGATGGAATATTACACAGCCATAAAGAAGGACAAAATTATAAACTTCACAGCAACTTGGATGGACTTAAGAGTCTATAATACTGAGTAATCTATCACAGAAACAAAGACCTGAGTATCACGTTCTCACTCATAAGTGGATCTTGAGCAATTATCGTAATACTATAAGAAAAGGATGGTCAGTAGTGGGAAATTGCTGAGGGCGGGGGAGGGAGGGAGGAGAATAGACCAGAAAAGCTCTCTCCTTTAGTTGAGTTAAAATGCTATATTCCCATTTCTTATTAGGGAAAAAACACCCAAATTGAAGGAGGGGTAACACAACAGATGCGATGAGCAAGAGTTCATCTCTGCCTAACCCGTACCGCTTCTTGAAGTCCTAGGCTCTGAAGCGAATGAACGAATAATCATCCTTCCCACTGATAGCTATTCTTCCTCTTGAACAACCTGGAACAGATATTTGTCTCCTGTCCTCCTCGTACCCCTGCGATGAAGAGTCTCAAACACACTCGGAGGAGACTCTTAGACAGACCACTCATACGTGAGAAATGCTCAACTATCAGGAGCTTTTACCCCAGGGATGATGACCGCATGGTCTTTTAAGCTTCATGTTGACTTAGTATTTTTTCCAACATGCTTCCTGATTTTTTAATAGTTCCTTTAGTGAATATTTTTAATGAGAAAAAAAGCAAAACGAAGTCATTTTCTCGACTTAATCCTTTACTCCCTACAGCATTTAAAGACTCAGTAACTTGTAAAACAGAATAAAAATTCAATCATAGTTACTATTACTCAGTAAAAGACTTTACAACCATTCTGCCATTAATCTTCAAATATGGACGACAAGTTTAAACAACTAAAACTCAACATACCTTTTTATCAAACTTGGAGCAGCTGAACCATCTGTCTTCATATCACAATCTGGGCTATTTAGAAGGTTAACTGGAACTCTTCCAAATGGGCATGACTAAACATATTTTCAAAGATTAAGTAACCAACTGGAAAATAAAGATTCGACTGCCACCACCGTAACCAAGCAGACTGAAAATAACTTACCCGTTTAGTTTTGTTGCTTTGTTTCAAGGGATTCCGATGACCTATTTCTGCATCTTGTGGGGGCATGTTCTCTCTAAACAGGAAGAAAATATTCTCAATTTTTCAAAGAATAACATGTGTTTCCACTGTATTGCTAAATATAATCACACTTACATGAAAGCATATACATAGATACATGTAGTTACATGACCAAAAACATAGATGTATATATATTCATATCGATAATCAGCATTTAAAAAACGGTTTCAGTTCTCTTACCCATATGAAAACCTGGCTTTAGCAGCCTGGCCTCTGGAATCACAACCAAGGTTCCTATTCTGTGAATGTCCAAGGGAACTGGAGAATGATTCTTGGGCATTTAATGCTGTAGATGCTGTAGAAATTTTGAAACTATGGTTAAATTTGGTTAAATAAGGATGCAACAAATGCACAAAAATTAATCTTATAAATAAGAATATTTAGAAAATTAATCCATAGTTAATGTCTCCAAGTAAGATATGCAGACATGAAGATGTCATCAAGCTAATTCTCTTTAATTATATAACTGTTTCCCCACTTTAAAAGCACATTTTCTATTTCTAAAAGCAAAAACCATCCTCTTGTCTCTCTCTAGATAGTCGTTCTTAATGTGTTACCAGTGAGAGTCTGATTAGCAGAAAAAAGATAACTTTCCATAGTAAAACTTTTTTTACTTCTAAAAGTTTTACCTTCTTTACATTTACAATTTAGCCTTAGATTTTGACCATTCTACATAAATGATATCTTTCTATAATAGTCTCCTGAATCTTTATTTGCAGTACCACCTCCCACAGAAAAGTATTAGAATACGTTAATGATTACCTGATAAATTATTTTTTTCCTCCTCTGAAAGTAGCTGCTTTTTTTGGAGGTTTAAATTCCGTAGGGCAATTTCCAGCATTTCTAGTGGTACTGCTCCACGTTCTATGGCTTTCTGAAGAAGTTGTTTACTCTTTTTGAAATTACCTAACAAAATAGAAAACAAATGTCATTTTTACACAGCAATCTTCACCTCCCAGATAACTTAATCATCAGGACCTATGAACAGATATAAGACTTCAGCAAAATATTTATTCCAAGGCTCATGCACTTTATTTCACAGGCTCTCTCTATGCGTGTGCAGGTAATCAACTCTCTTCTGATAACAATTCACGTCAAAATAGCTTCTTTATAATACTGTGCATTCATTTATCATCATGGACTTTTCAGAAGTCATAGACGTGCATGAAGCAGTTACCAAGAAGGGACAGCAAAGGCCAATCACAACAGAAACAGGAGGGCATTCTAGATGTTACAAGAGTCCCAAGAGCACCAGTCTCACAACACACTGTATCATTCACAGTGACATTTGGTCAAAGAAGGGTTGACAGCTTTTGATAAAGGACATCCATCTTCCATCAAAAGAATTTGCATTTTAAAAAAAAGGAATGACACAATCTTTAGCTGTCAAACTCAGTTATACCATCCCCAAAATGCAAAATAACTGAGACTATTAAAGTTACCTTTCTGACTACACACAGATTATCAAGGAAATTTTCTTTCAACTACAAACTTAATCCTAGTATTTGATTTATAAGCATTAAATGGGTACGTCATATATCTTACAGAATATGTATCAATGTCTATGGGAGTCATGAGCTAGCTGTGCACTTGGCACTTAGGGTATAAAGATGATTAAGAGATGACTTCTGGCTTCTGAGTTTATGCGCTTTTATGGTTCGTTTGTTTGTTTGTTTGCTTGATTTGGAGTCTCACTGTCGCCCAGGCTAGAGTGTAGTGGCATGCTCACAGCCACTGCAGCCTCGACCTGCTGGGCTCTTCCATCTCAGCCTCGACCTGCTGCGCGCTTCACAACACTGCAGCCTCGACCTGCTGGGCCCTTCCGTCTCAGCCTTCCAAGTAGCTAGAACAACAGGCATGTGCCGCCATGCCCAGCTAATTTTTTATTGTAGAAACGAGGTCTCACCAAGTCGCCCAGGTTGGTCTTGAACCCCTGGACTCAGGCAATTCTCTCGCTACAGCCTCCCAAAGTGCTGGGATTACAGGCTTGAGTCACTGTGTTCGGCCTCAGTTTATGCATTTTTAAAAATAGAAATATATTTGACAAAGGTTAATTTTAGAGTAGTTATAGAGAGTAGTGATAGAATTTCACATATTGAGTATTGTAAGACAGCAAAATAAGAGAGAAAGGCTTAGATTAGAACCAGTAATTAGGGTGCTTATTAATTAAGGTCATAGACTCCTTTAAATCTGATAAAAACTACAGAATGTCCTCTACCCTGACAAAAATACACACACACTAAGTCTAGCACAGGATTTCTGGGATGTTGCCTTTATTTCCCGACAGCCTAACCATCAGCCCCGTTCAAAATAATCACCGTTTTGATCTTGAGGCTACTATCACATTCAAGTGGCATAGATAAAGTTTTTCTTATTTACAGATAATTCTACTTAAGATCTTCAGTATGTATGCATTTCAAAGATGTAAAATTTATAGTTGCTACTGAGAGTCCATAACACTTAAAAAATTTTCAAAGCAGAATAGGGAAAAGTAGTCTTAAAGGGCTGGCCAAAGTTGCTCAAACAAGTTTATAGGAGGAATCAATTTCTCTAGGCAAGAAAGGGATAGTATTTTAAAAGGTAACCTGACCACGCACAGGGCAGACTGAGAATCCTAAGACTCACAAGTCCCCTGAAGAGGTCCAAGAAGTTCAGGGTTTACAAGCAATCTTGGGGTTGTGCAAGATTTTCTCCGACTTCAACTCCGGGGAGTTCTCTTCAGGAACTGAGCTGTGCTCTGGACACCATCATAGGGACTCTGTCAATAGTGATATGTTCACCCCTAGGTGGGAAGTTGGATCACAGTTGCAGCAGCCACAAGGCACATGGTCAAAGGTAGACTGAGAGTGAATCCAAAGACCCCAGAAAATGAGAAGAAAAGTAAAGACTGAGGAATGGCCAGGTGAGAAATGTCTGAGGAAAAGAGTGCCCTAGTGCTTTCCAAAACATCCAGCCTATGGAGAACCAGGTGAGCAATAAATAAAGCCACTACAGCAGCCTACCTTTTATTTTAAAGGAAGAATACTAATCAATGCTATAACTATATTTTAAAGTGTATTTTGGTGCTATGAAGCCACAGCATAAGGAAAGTGTATCTGAACTCTAGCTTAAACGTCTTATGGCCTTTTTCCCACAAATATTCAGTGAAGAAGCTACTTTTTTCTAGATGTTTCCTGAATTTTACGGCCCAGCATTCATGCTTTTCCCCTAGAGTACTCTTTGAAGTTAGAAAAGCTAGTGTAAAGAGAATATGCTCTGCTTTTACGCCTGGGTGGCATCTTCTCCCCACATTCTCATCTGATCAACTACAATGCTTTTTGCCTCAAATAGTCCCACTTCATGTATATCATTTAATGTTAGCATGTAAGTTACATGCGAACAAAAGATAACAGGAAGTTATCTTTTACGGAAAATGTGGACCTGAGGTTTTCAGATTACCTTGTGATAGTTCAAACTGTGCAAAAGATACATGCACGAAGGCAAATTTCTTGCAGTTTGCCCTGGCCATCTGAAAGTAGTCTCGGGCATCATCGGGTTCCTGAATGCTGTAACGAGAGAGGACAGGGTCAAGCTTTAAGGGAAGGACACAGTGACCTAAACGTGGTAGCTCTTCATTCTATCTTCCAAAAGACAAACGATAACTGTTTGCTGTGTGCAAAATTAAATATTAATAAGCTATTTTTTTTTTTTGAATTTGAGTCTCACTCTGTCACCCAGACTGGAGTGCAGTGCCTCGACCTGCTGGGCTCCAGCGATCCTTCCGCCTCAGCCTTCCAAATAGCTGGAACTACAGGCGCATGTTACCACGCCCGGCTCATTTTTGATTTATTGTAAAGATGAAGTCTCGACAAGTTGCCCAGGCAGGTCTCGAACCCGCGGGCTCAGGCAATCCACTCACCTCAGCCTCCCAAAGACGTGGGATTACAGGCTGAGCCACCGAGCCCGGCTCCAATAAGCTATTTTTAACGTTGTTTTTGGTAGTCTAAAATATACACAGAGCAAACAGTTTACATTAGCCCTTTGTTAATTATAAGTAAAAGTATTTGTTAAAAACACTAATTTTCTCACAAGTAATTCTGACTTTTTTTTCATTTTCCCTCTTTACAATGTAGTTATGTCACTATGCAACGCATTGAGTAAAATGTAGTCAAAATGCTAATACTTACGCTTTTAATTCAGCAAATCTCACTTGAATTCGAGCAAAACTTTCATTTTGGCCATATTTATCTGGAGGAAGTGCTTCAATTGCTTGACTGTAACGACCAATCAGCTTATTTAAAAGAGCATCACTTAGGGGGACACTGTTTTTCTCCAGTTTGAGCAACAAATTCAGCCAGTCCTCTGGGTTATTTGCCATCATCATAATTTGGTTAACAGTCCCCGAATTATCTGAATAAGAAGAACAAAATATATCACAACAGAAGACAAAACAAATGTCAAATTGTATTTTTCCTTCAAATTACAGTTAAGCATTTATACTGTTATCAATGTACATAAACTCCTTACGATATTTTAAACTACAGCAATACATATAAGTAACTGATTTACTGCATATTTATCTTTTATGAGGGTATATTTTACTCTATACAGCTATATATTTTGAAAGAAAGACTTTGGAAATAAGCGGGTTTTTTAAACAGGTAGCCCTTAAAAACTGCACACAATCTGAGAAAATGTTAGGCCATAGCAGCATAATTATAATTTTAGCAGCTTACCTATCCAAAGAAAACAAAAAGTCATTTCCACCACCACCTACACCAACTTTCTTGGAAAATTCTCCATCGATGATGCATTCATTAAACTTTTTGCTCCAGTTCTAATATGGCCTTTTTTACAACCTTGCCTAGCCAGTCTTATTACTGCATACCTCAAACTTACTTGTAAAACAACGAAACAAAACCAGCTTTACAAAGACAAGCAACTGATATGGTCATTTTTTTCTCTCTCTGTAAGTTACTACATTACTCCTGGAGGCCCTACTAATTTCTTGGCCCCACAAACCCACAGCTAACCTGGTCTAGACTATCAGAATTCATAGGACCTCTTGTGACTGCCAGTTTTTCTCATGGAAACCTCTCCTCAGAAACAGCAAGAGTCATCTTCAGACATAATTTTCACACTGTGAAGTTCTTTTTACTTTCTTTAGTGTTAGTTGTTGTAAAAAGACAATTTGAATGTCAATCTTCTGTTCAGAATATCTCAAGGACTACTAAGTATTGTTAAATTCAGATTTCCCAGAGACGCTATCATCCCTATCCTCATCAGCCACCTTCAACAAAGCCTAAATCTTTGCTTTCGCAAAAAAATTATTGTTTCTACCTTCTACTAAAACATAATGCATTCACAACTTTGCTTTTGCAGTTTAAACTTAATCTAGCCCGATCTTAACTTAATTCTCTGGTTTTACCTCCTATTGCTTTCCTAACAATCTGAAACGTTTACAAAGCCCCCCTTGCTACCTATGGCTTTGCAGATGTGCTCGCCATGCCTGGGTACACGCTTCCTCTCATTAACACATGCCGGCATTTGTGTCTTTACCATGCTTGTTTTCGTGTGATTCCCAGCATGCATTACATATGGCATGGTGAAGACACGAATTCCTATCTAGAAAGAAACTATGGTTTTAAGCTTCTTTGAACTTTCCTCAATACATAATATAATGAATGTCATGCATCAATAATTGTCAATGTTAAGTATTTATGGTTTTCAGTGACCTAAGGATCAACAGATTTAAGCAAGTACTCAACTACCTCAGTGTGCAAGCTTTGCTAGCGCTAGGCATAATAAAATATGGTAATCTCTATTAAGACTTAGCTTGACACCAAAGTCAACATTTTCTAGGTCATTTCAAAGCAGACATAGTCTGCCACCATAACTAGATGGCAGGTTCTTCCATTTATTTTCAATCCTTCATCCCTTTAATGGTTAGTATAGAAATAACAACAAAATCTTCCAAAGTTCGCCATTCAAATGACCTCAACCATTTGGAATGTGGTGAAGAAACAGGCTTCTAAGCTAATATTTTCCACAAAGCTAGAGTATTAAACTTTGGGCACTTTCAGTCATTCAACATAATTCAATAAATATCCAGTCACATCTGAATGTGTCAGGCACCATTCTTGGTTCTGTAAATAGAACAAAACAGATAAAAACCCTTCCCTCGTAGCACTCACATGATAGTGGAGAAGAAAGACAACACACAAACACACAAGTAGATTTTATATATAAAGGGATTAGTACCATGGAGAAAACTAACAGGGAAGGAAGACGGGAGACATATCCCCACCCCAGCAGGTTGATATGTTAAACAGGTAAGTTAGGAAAAGCCTCACTGAGGCAACATTTTTTTTTTTTTTTTGAGTTGGAGTCTCACTCTGTTGCCCAGACTGGAGTGCAGTGGCTGCTCCCAGTCACCGCAGCCTCGACCTGCTGGGTTCCGGCGATCCTTCCACCTCAGCCTTCCAAGTAGCCGGAATTACAGGCATGCGCTACCACGCCCGGCTGATTTTTTGATTTATTGTAGAGATGAGGTCTCGCTGCCCAGGCGGGTCTCGAACCTGCGGGCTCAGGCAATCCACTCACCTCAGCCTCCCAAAGGCGCGGGATTACAGGCTGAGCCACCGAGCCCAGCAAGGCAATATTTTTAAAAAGACCTGAAAGAGGTAAGAGTGGCAGATAATTGAGAAACGGTGTTCAAGGCACAGGGCAAGAGCAGAGACACTGAGGTATCAGCTGTTGTGGCGCATATGTGAGGAGGTCACTCTGGCTGAAACAGAGTTCAAGAGAGAAGAGGAAAAACAGCCAAGAAGTGACAGGAAGATTCTCCACGTTAAAAATTTAGTGTCTGATGCTAAACTTATGCGTCATTTTTATTAAGATCAGCAAGGCTTTCTCAGCTCACAACAAAAAAGGACTAGAAGAAACAGCAATGTATTTATTGATGGCAGGCATATTGCAGAACAGCCAACGATAACAAAGAGTTAAGAAAACTCCCTCACAGCACACTGCAATACACGATGTTCAGTTTCCTTTTTCAGAGAGCAGAAAACTGTGGACTATTTCCACACGAGGAGTAACATACAGTGTTTGTCCCCTCAAGTTAAACATCAGCTCCTAGGAAAATCACATTATGTCAACCCACAGCGGTTCACATCTCATTCCTTTACCTTAGAGGGCACTCAGTCAAGTTATTAATTTTTAAAAAAAGAAAGAAAAAGAAAAGCGTACCTGTGGTATCAGTAGAGACTTTATTCAAACTCAGCTCATCAGTCAGGTCTTCATGCTTAAACTTATTTTTAATGTCTCTCACTTTGTTCATGATGGAATCAATTGTCAACTCCCTGCCACTTATATCCTCAGACTCCATTTCTAAGAGACAAAATCGAGCTAGTCAGAATTCCCATCTTACAAGCACCAAAGGAAAAAAAATGCACTCGCGTTTGAGGACACAGAAGGCCAAAGCATTGGTTTCGTGAACACATCTTAAGGCAGATATCATTAGGGTAGTGTCAATGGAGCTATGTGCACGAAAACAAGGGGCCCGTCTTTGTAATTTGTCCAGCAAGTCTTCACCGGCCAGCTACACCTTTCCTTCCCCATGTAACTTCAACAGACTCACACTCTAGAAATCACTGTGAAACACAAAAACTGCTGCCCAGTTTTACACTTTCCATTTTTCTTTTCTTTTAAAAAAAATTTATTTATTATAAAAATATGGGGTACAATTCAGGGTTAGGTATGCAAACGTTGATGATGCAGGCACCCTTGTTGATGAGGTGTGCCCCTCCCTCCCCTGGCAGTTCCCTGCAACTGCCAATCCCACCCGCCTCCCCTGACAGTTTTCCACTACTGCCAATCGCTTTCTCATAGCATTATAATCGTTCAAGGTCACCTTATGAGTGAGAACATCGTCTACGCACTGCATACCTTCTTCTCACTCTTTCCAGAATTATTTTCTCTGGGCCCTCTGCAAATTCAGTCTAAATGACTAAATTTGCAGAGGGCCCAGAGAAAACAATATGTATACGTAACAGATAATAATACATATGCAACGGAGTGTTTGCTTGGATTCTGGTAGTGACATCTAGACATAAAGAATCCTTCTGGCAAGGGGAACAATTATTTCTTTACCCGCCTGCTTTAAGGGCGTAGATCTTTCAAAGCAGAACACGAATAGCATCACAGGCCTCTACTGATCACTGGAAAAGCAGCAGGCCTGTTCTGGGGCACGGAGGCAGAATGTGACCTGCAACGTTGCCCACCGGAACACCAAGGGTCGAGGGCACGCGTCCCGTCCCTGACCTTGGCATTGGCGGGGTGGTGACTGACGTTTGGTCAACAGCGCGTCCGCGGTCTTCCGGTCAATCCCCAAAGACCCACCCAGCCACTCAGGGTCCCCAGGACCGAGGCCGCCAGGACGGGCCGGCACCCCGCCTCCAAAGTCAAGTTCGAGAGGGAAGCGTCCGGCCTCTTCCCCCAGGCTAACCCGCCAGAGACGGCTTTTTGGGACTCGATCCCGTCTTCCCGGCGAGGGCCACACCCCGTCCGGCTCCCCCCGCTCCCGCCGCCCCTCCCCGCCCCCT